TCTCTCTCTCTCTCTCTCTCTCTCTCTCTCTCTCTCTCTCTCTCTCTCTCTCTCTCTCTCTCTCTCTCTCTCTCTCTCTCTCTCTCACGTGCACGAAAACGCGTTTGGCCAGATACTGTGCAGTGGAAGATGAAGTCTTGAGATGTCATGTGCTACCCGAAGAAGAATAAGAAGACTCTCTCTCTCTCTCTCTCTCTCTCTCACGCGCGCGCGTGTGCGTGTGCGCATTTGACCAGAAACTGTCCAGCGGAAGATGACATCCTGAGCTGTCATGTGCTACCCGCAAGGCGGGCTCCAGCCGGTGCCGAAGACCCAAGGTAGGCACCAAGGTTGAGTGCTCCAGTGCTGCTCTGCTGCTGAAGACCTCTCCTTTACTCCTGTAGTTCTAATTCTGATGCTGCTCCTCTGCAGCTGCTCGCACAGCATCATGCCCAATTGTAACCTCAACGCTGGGTACCCAGGACTGGCCCCAGGCCCAGCTATGTACGCTGGGCCTACAGGGAGTGACTTGGCCCTGTGTCCGCAGGTCGTCCAATTGGTTTTCTGATCGATGGTCTAGGATGCAGGCTGATGTCTTGGTCCTTGTGCGCTGGCCTAAAATGGTCTGCCTGCGTCCCTACTGGACGCCAGTCCCTCCTTTATCAGGGACGTTCTCAGAAATGGTCAAATGGCTGGACTGCAGGAAAGTCAAAGTCAAACCGGTCCAACCTAGCCCATAACAAAACGCGTTAGGCCCCAAGGGGCTCGGCACACATTGTTGAAACATGCAAATTATCGACAGATGTCAGAAAGTTTTCAACAGCCGCCATTTCGACGGTTACTCCTTGGCCCTTTGCCACACAGCACCCTTGGAATTGTCGTGGGAAAAGTATATAACAAGCACTCAAGGAAAGAGACGACTAGCTAACGGTCGGCCTCACCCTTGAAGTTGTGGTGGGAAAAAGTATATAATAAGCACGCGAGCGAAGAGACTTCCTTGTCCAACTTACCCCGTTCTCTCTTCGATATACACACATGATGCTGCCTATACATCTCGATACATTGATTCACAGAGCACACACAGCCTTCGGGCATATACATGGCTTGCAAATTATGCGGCCTACGGGTTACACACACAAGTTTCCACACATAGTGCTGTCTGTACATCTTCATACACAGATACACGAACCGTACACAGCCTTTGGGTATACACATACATTTCGAACTTCACAACTATCAGACTGGGGGGGTCTAGTCACTGGGTGGGGTCTAGTATCTGCGGTAGGGACAGGTATGGGCCACCGGAGTTCCTACTGATATTCGGGTAGAACTGTCTAGTGGCTATATATAAGGCTTAGACCCTGGCGTAAGGGTAGGGGTATAAGTCGCTCAGGCCAGTCCGAGTTCCGCCTGGCCTTGGGTACGCTAGGGGAAGGACGGTAAGACTGCTTCAATGGGTGCTACCCTGTCTGAAACCTAGGGCCCAGAGTCTCTTGGGGCCTGTAGTAGATTGTCTGGGCCTGGCGTCCGAAGTTCCCGTTCGACAAGGGTCGTCCGATTCCGATTCCGCTTCCACCAGGGCTGGGCTACCTATCACCCTTTTGGTGAAGTTGGTGCCTATCACTGCTGTTCGGTCCATTGGTAGGGTAATGGTCCTGAGTGCTGGTTACACTGAGGTAGGATAGTGGGATAGGGGGTGCGCTCGCTAGGAGTATTGACGTGAGGATGGGATGGGAGGTGATCTCATATTCCAGGACACGCACGGCCTACGGCCCGAGGTGATCACTGTGTGCACAGTGACTGGTCTCTACAACACCATGGACTTGTGAAAAAAAAAAAAAAAGGAGACGACTAGCTAACGGTCGGCCTCGACCCGGACAATGGGCGTTTCAGCCGCAATTCGCCGTAAGCGCAAAGGAAGGCTATGGAAAGTCGGTCCATCGCAGGTGGGCGAAATGTCGAACAGGAGGGCGGCTGTCAAATTTGTTTTCGACAGCTGCCCTCTCGACAGGCTGTGTGGGGACGGGAAACTGTTGAAAGCCCTGCTTTCGATAGCCGTGTGGTGAGCCCCTAAGACTCGGCCGCGGGGTCTAAATCTAGGCCAGCAGTTCCAAACAGGCAGAAATACCTGCTGGGACAAGAAAGTCCCAAAGACGCACACACACACACACAAAGTCCCAAAGACACATCTCCAGACTGGACATAACCTGAAACAGACAAATGTACTTTGAAACCAAGTAATAAAATCACAGAAGAATGAAGAAAAAAAAAGAAAACACAAAAGGCATTCCCGAGGCCCTTCAGTCCTAGTTCCCTACTATCAAATATATATACCTTAATGAACTCTAACATTGCTAGTCGCCCATACAGCGGTGAATCCATTCCCGATGCATTCTTAAAAAAAGATGCGTCGAAAACAAGGCCATCCTTGAGAGGCGTTTGCAACATTGGTTTCGTATATGCCGATGAAACAATACCACACACAACCACCTACCTGGGGCCTCAGCAAGGCGCAGATGAAGGCCGCGCCCCTAGGATCACGTAAAAGAACGTGGGCCATGCAGTTGAGGGTCCATGCTGGTGCAACGTTGGGCCCTACGAGGCCGGTGTGAGATCTGCGCATGTCACACTGCAGCTGCCGTCGTCTTCTCGATTGCACCATGCTGGTGCAATGTCGGACCTACGAGGCCCGTGCGAGATCTGTGGACGCCACACTCCGGCTGCCATCTTCTTCCCTGGGCTGAAGGCATAGCGAGTATTGTCGTATCTACCATTTAGCCCAATTTTCAGGACAGATACAGATACAATTACCGCACCTTCCATTTTCCTTGGGGAAAGATGATAGAGATTGCCATCAGCCTGGACCCCCCCCCCCCCCCCCCCCCCAGTTCCCCCAAAAAAGAAACTTTGAATCCTGTGATGCAATTGTGGTATTGCACCTTTCTGTTCTTTTAAACCACCAGTACTTGGCCCAGCTATCGGCTGCGGGAAAAAATAGAGTAGAAACGTTTCTAGTTGGATGAATTTGGGCGCACCTGTAGTGGCCCGTACGTTTCCTAAAATCGAGGCGCGTTAACGGGCACGACTCTAGGAAGTACTGGTGGTTTAATGCAATTGTACACTACCACACAATGAAGGTTACTATTTGCCTTTTTCCTCTTTTTTTTATTTTTATTTTTATTTTTTCTTAATTTTTTTTTGACCATTTCTCCATTTATGTGTGTCATCCTTGCGCAGGGGCCATGCTAATCTTCTCTGTATCGTTCAAATTTTAACGGACGTCCTCTTTTTCCTCTTTGAAAATTGAATGTTATTATTTTTCCGGTCCCCCTGTAACGTCATGCATTGGTAGAGGAATTGTTAGGTGGGAGAGGGTGGTTTTTTTTTTTTTTTTTTTTTTTTTT